TCTTTGTCTCTCTCTTCTTTCTCTCTGTCTCTTTATTTTTATAGTCACTGTCACAATGTTAGCTTTGGTATTCTATTGTTAGAGAGATATAAATCATTTCTGAAGAATCATGAGTGATTTTTGCACGCAGTCTCACGGCTTGTCCAATTTAGAATTCAGATGATCCTTTATTTTGTCAGTGTTTGTCAGCAATTCCTGATTCAAAATCATTTTACACAGATATAAATTCTATTGTACATGTATGATAAAATCTTTGTATAATGATATTCATTATTGATAATCCGGTGTGACGTAGTCACGTAACTATTATTATTTTCGCTCGTCGGATTCATTACAGTAATTTCGAGGATTATTTTGAGTCGACTCAGTAATGAAGAAGCAGAGACGTCGTAGATCTACCGATGAAAGAAGTTTGGCCTCTCCTGTACCTCCGTTTCTGCCTCCACAAAGAGATTTGCGATCTACAGAATCACCACGAGGATACTCTCACTATGGACCAAGACCAGCTGGAACCTACAGCTCTCCTCCTACAGCTACAGTAGAGCAACACACTCTGAAAGTGACAAATCTTTCACCAAATGTAACTCAGGAGGAAATGGAGGCTGTATGTGCTAGCTATTTAGATTACCAAAGTCTAAAAGTTAATGACAGACATGCTTTCGTCAATTTTTTATCGCTAAAAGGCGCAGAAAGGGCAATGGAACGTCTAAGAAAAGTGAAATTTCATGGGCAACGCCCCATAGTCCATCTGCACAACAAGTCACCAAAAAGTGAAAGCCAGCTACGCTCTCATTATGGACAAACAAGTTGTATCCCTCCTCCCTTTCTCATCACACCCCATCACTTTTCTTCTCCCCGCACTGTTTCTCCGCAAGCACTGCAAGTAGAAACGTCAACTGTTAAAGTAACACTTAGTGGTCATAGTGGTCATGGGGTTAAAGGTGAGGCTCTAGAGGAATACTTTAGTCAGTTTGGTGAGGTCCTTCAAACTCCTGCCATAATACCAGGAACTCCTGACTATGCATATGTTAATTTTAAGACAAGTGAAGAAGCAAAAGCTGCCTGTAACCCAAACGAAGTGCATCTCGATGGTATAGTAATGATGATCAAACTCAGTAACAAGGCACCAGCTTCAACAAGTTCAAAGCTGGTCACATTTGAAGATGACTCGCTCGTCAATGCAATTACAATGTGCAAGCTTTCTGAATTGAAGGATCAACTGTCTAGTGCAGTGACTGCCAAATCTTCAAAAGATTTAAAAAGTGTGCGTATTTCTGGTGATAAGGATAAAGTAGATGAGGCTGAAAGTGTTGTGCGATCATACATGAAGCATCTTCAAGGTCAGATTATTTCAGAGTCAATGTATCTCCATTGTCAATTCATACCATTATTAAAGGATCCTCAAGTATTTCAAAACATAGAGCAACAACAGGGTGTAGAATTTAATGTAATTCTGCCTAATGGTTCTACTAAGCCTCTTGCTGCCTTCTCCAACACTATATCCAGTTTGATGTCTT